AGAACGTAAGCTCGACAAGGATAATTTGAAACGCAACAGCAACATGGTGCGAATTAGGCCAAAAATGACCGACCAACGATGACCCAACAAGCGTGCAGCTGCCAGACTCCGAGAAGCACGATTGCTCGACTCAAGACGACCTGAAACGTCGGTGCAAATTACAACCTGCAAAGCTGCTTGGCCAGCCGACTGGCGGGATAACCTTTACGATATGGCCTAACGAAGCGATGGGTAGGGTGTTACCCTACGACCTCGCGACGGACATTCAATAAGATGGGCGAAGTGCTAGACCTACAGCCGCGGCAGCACCACAACAGCGGCCACGACGCTAAGATGACATGGATTGATGGTGGCGGAACGCAAACCATGCGGAGACACGCAAAGGCAGGGACGAAACCAACCGAATGAAGCCACGGCGTGAATCCTTGTGGGAAGCCGCGCTACCAAGAAAGGCCAATGTCAGTGACACGCCGGGGCAGGCCAGAAAAAGGCTGCGATGAAGCGCCAACTGGCACCGACCGGGCAGCACTGGTAAAGCCGATGCACTGCGCGCACCGACTACTACATTGCCCAGATATCTGGCAAAGACGTCCCGAAGAAGAGGAAGAAAGAAGGAGTTGGAAAAAGAACAAGAGGAGGAAGAGGAAGAAAAGGAGGAGGAGGACGAGGAGGAGCAGGAGGAAGAGGAGAAGGAGGAGGAGCAGGAACTGGAGGGCAGAATTCCAAAATGGCACAATATTCCATTCTGGCTTCAGGGGCGTCGTCCAAATGCCCCTTCACGGCGCGAAGCCAATCTTGCCTGCGCAACCGGCATGCAGCACAAACGCGGCGCCAACGGAGCAAACTCCAGGCGCCAAACAGGCAAAGCACCCGTGGCGGGGACGTCCCGGAAGGAGGGGGAAAGGGGGGGAAAAACCAAGCCGGAAGAACGGCGGCGGGGGACCCCGCGACACGGCCGAACCCACGGCCGCCGACGACGGCGGCCGAGCGAAACCCACGACCCGCGAGGAGGGGCGGACCGAGGAGCCACCCCGGGGGGGGCTGGCGCCGCCGAGGGGCGGCAGGAACGCCACGCCACCCTCGACAGAAAACGAAACGCCACGGAGCCCAAGGCCGAGAAGGCGGGAAGCAAGGGAAACTGAAACACCGTAGATAAAGGGAAATTAGGACACACAAATAAATACACACAAATAAAAATAGTCCCCATATTTTCCCATATTTTCTGGGTTTTTGTCTTCCCCCCCAATTCCCATATTTTCCCATATTTTCCTGGGAATCGAGGATTAATTGTGTCTGTGTGTTTTTTTCCCTCCTGAGTAGAACCGAGGGCGACAGCGGCGCGCGCCCAGAGCGACAAGTCGGCGAGCACTTGGGCACAGCAGCCGGCACATCGGCGCGCGACCCGAGCGTCCGATCGGCGGGCGACAGGGCAAACAGCGACAGACCAGCGCTTGCCAAATCCATGACCGCCCGCATCAGGAAACTGCACCGCGACGCCCTACACGCGCTGCGAAGGAATCGCGCAAGAAGCTCACGCCATGCAGCCATGGGCCCACCGCGTCGCCGCCGCACTGCGCGCAATGAGCTCTGCAAGATATCTTGCTCTGGCGTTCCAGCCGCTCGATATGGGCCACGAGCTGCCCCTTGGAGGCAACCGCCAAGTCCGCCAGGTGTCCGGCCGACTCAGGGCCCTCGTTTGTTTCGGCCATTCCAATCAATCATGCCGAGGCTGGCGGGGCGCGAGTGCCAGTCGCTTGTCGCCCGCTCATATGGTAGGGAGTACAGGGAGTCGATTGTGACCTGTCGTGGGACCATCTCTGGGCGAGCTCGCCCGTTCCATTTTTCCTGTCGCCCCAGGCGAGATAACCCCAGCGTCTGCGAGTCCACGGGGAGTCAGCCCACGCCTCCTTGACCATCATCCAGAGGGCGACTTGCGCTAGCTGGGCGAGGCGACGTCCGCCCCGTGACAGCCCCTCCGCGGCGGTCGCGCGGGTCATGATCGGTGAGAGACTGGTGGGAGGCACGCGTCTGTCGCGCGCCACTGCCATAGCCGCCCGCTGCGACGGCTAGCAGCCTGCCATCCGCGATGCAGTCGGCAAAACAGACGGCGCAAGAGGACTCCGGACCTCGGATCGCCCACCTCTGATCTCACAGGCCGACTCGGACCAGGAAGACGCCGGCGAGCTTGCAGGAGTCCGCGCCTGTCGAGGCATCGACGGCGTCGTCCTCGTGATCCTCCCACCGGCATCGTTGAACCAGGGCACTCGCGGGGCTCTTTACGCCCTCGCGCGACCGCCCGCTGCCACAGTCATCGGCCGGGCCCGCGCCGTCGCGGTCGGGCGACACTGGCCGCAGCGGCGCAAAGCGGCCGTTAGCGACAAGGCGGCTCAGGCCAAGCGCGCCCTGTCCTTCTGGGTATGGGATGCTGTTGTCGGGCATCGATTGGTGGCGTAACGTCGACAATATTGGCGACGTAGCATCGAAAGGTTTGGTACGCGCAGGATTGGGAGCAAGCTTCAGGACGTGGCCGTCATGTTCCTGCACCTCTTCGCGGCCGTCCGCCGCGATGCCAGCAGGGCCCCAGGAGAGCGCCAGACCCCCCCCCCTTCCTGGCATCGCTGGACGTCAGCACTGCGCGGACCGCCTCTTCGAACCCCCCCATCGACGCCCTCCTCCGCGACCACGTCGACGGCTTCCTTCATCTCGACGTCCCCCTCCTCCTCCTCCTCCTCATCCATGGCCACCCCCTTGTCACCGTCTCGCCACCCCCATCCCTTGGTTCAAAGCTCACGTAAGGTATTTGGCAAACCTAATGCACAAACGAAGGCATGCAGCAAACAGGACTGCCATTGGCGGCACAGCATCGCCACGATCGGTGTAGCATCAAGAGGACTGATGTGCGCAGGATTGTTCCTACACCACCCTGCTGCCGTCCGCCGTGAGGCCAGCAGCGTCCCAGGAGGGCACCGAAAAGCCCCGCTCCCTGGCATCGTTGGACGTCAACACTCCGCGGGCCGCTTCCTCGAACCCACCACCGACGCCCACCTCCGCAGACACGTCGACAGCCTCATTCATCTCGACGTCCCGCTCCTCCTTCATAGCCACCCCTTTGTCCGCTTCCTCGCTATCCCCATCGCGCGTGTCGTCGAAATTCTTCATGACCTCCTCCACCTCCACCCCGAACTCCGCGGTGACCTCCTGCACTTCTTTCGTAGCGTCCCCGTCCCCGACCAGCATCTCCAACCTCCCTGACCTCCTCCACCTCCTCCTGAACCGCGGCGCTACTGCCAGGGCCGGGTGCCACTCGGCTGAAAAAGATGATAGGTCGGGGATGCTGTAGCTAATGATGGGTCGGGGATGCTACCCACGCATTGATCGGAATGCTGCAACAGGTGATGGGTCGGGGATGCCCGGGCTCCAGCTTCAGACCCGGAGTCTCGCTGAGCAGAAACAGGGCCAGCTGCCGCTGCCTCTGCCCGTTTGTCTAGCACATGCTGATCACGGCGCAGTCGTAAAAAACGGTGGGCTCCAACTTCACCCCCAGCATCTCGCTGAGCGGCGCTAGAGCCGGCTGCCACTGCCCCTGACTGTCCTTTTCGCACGCACTGATCAGGGCACTGTAGCGGATGATTGTGGGTTCCAGCTTCACAACCAGCATCTCGCTGTGCGCGTTCGTCCCGCACGTGCTGATCAAGGTGAAGACGCACACACATATACATATACACACACATACACACACATACACACACACACAAACAAACAACCCACAACCATACATACACACACACACACTTACAAACACTTTTATCGTCGCGGCCTTGCGCGCGGCGGCAAGGCGGAGAAGGTCGTAAAGCAGCAAACGCGGGCGCACGACTAGGAACGCCCGAGCTCTGAGACCGCTCAGGGTCCCGCATCCTGGCGTGGATGACGGGGGGGGCGGTGGAAGGACGAGGCTACGGTGCGGGGAAAGGCGCATCCGGGCCAGATGGCGGGGGGAGCGAGCAAGCAGCGCGGAGCGACAACGAGGCCAAGACCGACCTGAAGCCACACACACACACACACACACGCGCGCACACACACGCACGCGCGCAAACGCGCACGCACGCACGCACGCACGCACGCACGCAAACGCGCACGCACGCACGCACGCACGCACGCACGCGCGCACAAACGCACACGCGCGCGCGCGCTCGTTATGCGAGCAAGAAGCGCGCCACTCCTTTCCAGGCGCCAGCGCAGGCGTGCTGGCGGATCGGGCACCCGCCGCCGTCGGCACAAGACCCACAGTCAACCAACATACACTCTAGGCGATGCTTAAGAAAACCTAAGTTTGCGTCCAGAGTCTCGAGTATTCTTAATTTTTCAATGTAGATGCCAAGGTTTTGATAGAAGTTCTGGGTTTGGTTTCAAATTCTGAGACTATCAATTTCTTAACCCATGATTTCTTAAGCATCTCGCAGGGTGTAGTAAGGATACGCGGTAGGGATGCAAGGGCTTTGGTGGCCATGCCGAGGCTCTTCGAGCGGGGCTGGCCATCGAAAGTGGTTGAGGATGGGCCGAAGACGATCGAAGAGGCAACGATTCAAGGGTACCCTTGGGAAGTCGATCGTCCTTTCTGTCAGGGTTGACTGTACATCGCCCACGCGTGGATGAAGAGCCACGAAATCGAAGGAGACCTCCTGTACAAGGTGCGAGCGCACGCACTCAAACGTGGTGTGCGAAACAGAAATCGATATCTGCCTCACCTGCGACCCTGGAGGAAACCTCGGACCAAGAACCGGAAGTGATGGAATAACCACGAGGGGGAGGCCGACGGATGTGAGATCGGCTACGCTAGCCCGAACATGTATTCAAATCAGTGGGCAGTGCTTGCAGGTCAGGACATGGAAGAACACACACACACACACACACACGCACGCACACACACACACACACACAAACACACACCAGAAGGGAACAGAACTCTCCCTGCCTCACTGCACCCGTTGCACACTTCCCGCCTGGAGCTGGCATCGTCATCGGCGGAGGGGCATAGTGGATCGCTGGCCCAGGAGGCGGGTAGCCCGCCTTCCGGCGTCAAAGCATGAAGGAGCGGGAGGAGGATGGCGGAGGAGGAGGAGGAGGAGGAGGAGGAGGAGGAGGAGGAGGAGGAGGAGGAGGAGGAGTAGAGAGGTCGACGCACGGGTGGGAAGACAGGGGGGCGTCGGACTCGGCAGCGCTGAACGGAGAAGTGGAGGCGGCAGTGAAGAATGTGATAGCGAATGAGACCAGCCTTTCGACCAAGACGCCAGAATCGACGGGGTTCAGGAAGGAGTTGTCAAGCGAAGTTGAATCGAATCTCCTCACCCCTCGTCCTCCACCTCCTCCTGCTGCTCGAGCACGCCTTTTCCTCATTCTCATACATACTTCTGTCGGATTGGAGCTCGCATGGAGTCATGGAACAGGAGCAGCATTCGAATATGTGGGAAGAGTCCGTGGTAGTCGAAGGAAAGAAGAGGCAAGCAAGCGAGGAGGCGAAGGTGAAGTCGAGCGGGCACTGACGCCATGGCCGACCAGCAGAACATCGCACTGCGCAAAACAAGCGAGAACCAGAACCCTGAGGCGGACGACCAGAAAAAATGCTAAACCAGAAAGGCCAGGAACCCATTGGACCAGAAGCTCGCAACGCGGCAAGCTGGACCCAGTGGCCAACGACCGGAACATCGCACCAAACGAGGCAGGCGAGACCCAGGACCCTACGGCCAGCGACAGAGAAATCTCAACCAGCAATATGAAGGCGGGCATCATAGCAAGATGGCCGACGACCAGAGGTCGCAACCAATGAAGGAATCGGGAAGCAGAAAACCGATGGCCACCAACCTCAAAATCATAACCGACAAAGCAAGCGGGACCTGGAACCTTATTGCCGCCAGCCACCCGAAAACCGCAAACCTCCTGGGTGCCTGGGTGTCGGGAGCGCGGCGCTTCGGCAAATTGCAGAAAAATTCCAACACAAGGCCATTCTTCAGTAAGTTGCAAGCAAGTCTCCAGCGGAGCGCGACTCCCAGAGCGCCGAATAAAGTTGTAAGGAAGTCCAAGCGAGAGCGCGATTCCTGAACAAGTGGCACGCGTGCCCTGGCTCTTGCACAAAGGAGCTGCGAAGGACTGGGAAGCCTGAACGGAGGAAGGCTGTACGGAGGAAGGCTCCCAAGGGTGGGTGGCTCAGGTGAGCTGGGTGGGGCTCAGGCTCAGGGGAGCTGCCCTGGGAAGCCTGGACGGAGGGGCTCTGGGAAGCCTGGACGGAGGGGTCCCAAGAAGTCCCAAGAAGGACCCAGGGGGACGAACGAACGAACGAACGACGACGAAAATAAAGGGTTCCGTGGCCCAGGGGGGCTACCCTGGGAAGCGTGGACAGGGGGGGGGCGAGGGGGACGGGGGGGGGCGAGGGGGACGAACGACACGACGAACGACGAAAATAAAGAAACGAGCGCAAAAATAAAGGGTTCCGTGGCCCAGGGGGGCTACCCTGGGAAGCGTGGACAGGGGGGGGGCGAGGGGGACGAACGACACGACGAACGACGAAAATAAAGGTTCCGTTGCCCAGGGGGGCTACCCTGGGAAGCGTGGACAGGGGGCCTTGGTACCCTGGGAAGCGTGGGAACAGAGGGGGAGGGGAGGGGGGCTGGGGGGGGGGGCGAGGGGGACCGAAGGACCAACGACAAACGACGAAAATAAAGGGTTCCGTGGCCCACGGGGCACCTGGGAATCGTGGACAGGGGGGGGGGGGGGCGAGGGCCCAGGGAGCTACCCTGGAAGGTGGACGGGGGGGGCGAGGGGTACCCTGGAAGCGGGACAGGGGGGTGGGGCGAGGGGGACGGGGGGGGGCAGGGGACGAACGACACGACGAACGACGAAAATAAAAGGTTCCGTGGCCCAGGGGGGCTACCCTGGGAAGCGTGGACAGGGGGGGGGGGGGCGAGGGGGACGAACGACACGACGAACGACGAAAATAAAGATGTCCGAGCTGTAGAGCACAGCTGTGCAAGAGAATAAAATGCGAGGAAGTCTCGGGCGGGAGCGGGGGTCCTGGCTAAATTGTAAGGACGTCTCAGGCGGGAGCCGTTGTTGTTGTAACCTGGGGGCCAAGGGCCCAGTTTGAGCATCAAGACTTTCCCTGTCAAAAAACAAAGTGCGAGCGTCGAGGGGCACACTTTGATTGAGAAATAACAGTATGCACCGGGTGGGGGGGATCAACAATACATATTCTTCAGAAATGAAAATTCAACACGAACAACAAAAACAAAAAACAACAACAACAACAACAACAACAACAACAACAACAACAACAACAACAACAACAACAATTACTAGCACGTGGGGACACTCCGTTCTCACCAGTGCCAGGGTTTTCATAGGAGGCGGGCAATACCCCCACTTTGTGGGGGGGCCGGTTCAAGCTCTACCAAATTTCCAAACGACTCTTCGCCACCACCCACACCCAGCTTCCCGCCCTATGACGTTCGGACACTTCACTTCGTGGCATGCGGACGACCGTGGCTACTATTCAGGGCCCCGCGGCCGACGACGACGGCGTGCGCGCGCGAAGAAAAAACGAATGTGTCCCGCATGGTATTATTTGACAGGGATGATGGCCCTGGCAGGTGCGCAACCGTTGTCGCAGAAGTTCGAAAAAGTTGCTCGCAAAAGCCCGTTTGACAGAAATGTTTAAAAAGTGTTGGGTTTCCTACGAATCCGCAAGAGCGCGCGGGATGATAGTTTGACAATTTTTTGTTGAAAAACCATTGGTTTTTTGATGTTTTTATGTTAAAATCGCTACGAACACTAAGGTTTTGGAAGGATTTCGTCTTGCGCGCGCGAATGTCCACTTTAACTTATTTTTTGCAAGGGATTCTTGAAATTTGATTATATTAGAACAAGAAATGTCATTTTTAGCTGTTTTTTGCAAGGGAAAACCGGATCGTAACAACACAACCGGATCCGGACCAACCCGTTTTGCCTGAGACTTCCCACGAAAATGATGAAAACGTGGCTGCGGCCTAGGCGCGGCGGGGGGGTCGCGCACCAAGGGGTCCCAACAATAATTAATTCTTTTAGAAGTAATAATGTTCAACAACAACAACAAACAACAACTACAACAACATCAACAACAACATTTTAAGGCTGTACGCTCTTACTTGCCCGCGAGTCATTCAACACGTATACCCTACACCCTCGATACCCGCCCTCTTCGTCTTCGATCACACCCCTTTCGGGGGGATTATTTCTCTTTGCTGGGGCCGGCGGGCTTAGACGTACGGGCAAACCGGAACGGGCGGACAATCCTTCGGGGGCGTACATCTCTCTGCCCGCCATTGGAATTGGCGCGGGCCCTGCAAGAGGAGGAGGGGAAGAACGAGGGAGAGTGGGAGGAAGGGGAGGGGGAAGGACGAAGGAAGAGGGAAGATACCACGTTGTGAAGGCGTCCTTGGCGCGCGCGTGGTTCCTGAGCGCCGAAACGCAATTCCAGAATAATTTGTGAGGACGTCGCACGCGAGAGCGCAGTCCTGAGTACATTGTGAGGAAATCTCAGGCGGAAGCGGGGCCCTGACTAAGTTGCGAGGAAGTCTCAAGCGGGAGCGCCGTTCCTGAGCAAATTGCACGGAAGTCTCAGGCGGGAGCGGGGGTCCTCACTAAATTGCGAGGAAGTCTCAGGCGGGAGCGCCGTTCCTGAGTCAATTGCGCGGAAATGTCAAGCAGGAGCGGGGGCCCTGAGTAAAATTCGAAGAAGTTTCAGGCGGGAGCGCCGTTCCCACGTAAATTGCACGGAAGTCTCAGGCGGGAGCGGGGGTCTTGTTTACATTGCGAGGAAGTCTCAGACGGGAGCGCCTTTCCTGAATAAATTGCGCGGAAGTCTCAGGCGGGAGCGGGGGTCCTGAGTAAAAATCGAGGAAGTCTCAGGCGGGAGCCGTTGTTGTTGTAGCCTGGGGGGCAGGGGCACAGTTTGAGCAGGAAGACTTTCCTTGAGAAAAAAACAAGGTGCGAGCCCCGGGGGCGGCACCTCAATCGAAAAAAATCAATGTGCACCGGTGGGGGGGGATCAACAATAATTATTCTTCAAGAATGAGAGTTCAACAACAACAACAACAACAACAACAACAACAACAAAACCAACAACAGCAGCAGCAGCAGCAGCAGTAACAACAACAACAACAACAACAACAACAACAACAATCACTTTACCCGAACGCTCAGTGTTCTCACCAGTGCCAGGGTTTTCATGCGACGCCAGCCAATACCCCCACTTTGTGGGGGGGCAGTGCAAGCTCTACCAAATATCCACACGACTCTTCGCCACCACCCACACCCAGCTTCCCGCCCTATGACGTTCGGACACTTCACTTCGTGGCCTGCGGACGACCGTGGCTACTACACTGGCGTGGAGTACACACCCACAGAAGTTGTTAAGCCTACGTTCGTACACCCACAGAAGTTGTTAAGCCTTGTTAACCCACAGAAGTTGTTAAGCCCCCCACAGAACATCTGTTGCATATGATGCATATGGTACATGATACACATGATACACATGATACGTACTCACAAGATAGTTGATCACATCTTTAGGGCAAATTCCTGAGGGATGTGGGAATACACAAGAGAGAGAGGATATGGTTGTCCCGATGGTTGTCTCGATGGTTGTCCCGATGGTTGTCCTGATGGTCGTGGTTGTCCCGATCGTTGTCCCGATGATTGTCCCGATGGTTGTCCTGATGGTTGTGCTTGTCCCGATCGTTGTCCCGATGACTGTCCCGATGATTGCCCCGACGGTTGTCCCGATGGTTGTTCCGATGGTTGCCCCGATGGTTGTCCCGATGGTTGCGAGCGATGCCGGATCCTCACGCCCCCCGCCGGAGGAGGAGGAGGAGGAGGAGCAGGACAAGGATGAAAGGAGAGAAGAGAGAGGAGGGGCGGGAACGGCGCTTGCACGCCCACCCACCGTCTTTTCCCCGCCGCGGCTCTAGAGAGACGAGTTCGTGTGCTCGTCATCTTCTGGCATACGCCCGTCCCTGATGGCACGGATGGGGCGCAATGCTGCCAGCTGGCTCCTGGCAGAAATACATCAGGGGCCAAGTGTCCAAGCATGGTGCCGATACGCCTCCTCACGGATACATCGCCCGTGCGTGCGAGGGGCGCCAATACCGCCAGGACGCCCTGGACATGCGCCGGCATACGCAGATCCACCTGGTAATCCATGACATTGCCATACTGGGACTGCCCGCAAGAACGCCATACTGGCATGTGCCACCAATGGTCCTGCTTCGGGAAATAGGTGATACCATCGTTGACGTCGTGGGAGGCATTCCACAGAGCCATAGATTGCGGCTCAATACCCATGGGTCCCGTGTGTGTTGCCACAAATACGTGTGGGTTTCCTACGAATCCGCAAGAGCGCGCGGGATGAGATTTTGACAATTGTTTGTTGAAAAACCATTGGTTTTTTGATGTTTTTATGTTAAAATCGCTGCGAACACTAAGGTTTTGGAAGGATTTCGTCTTGCGCGCGCGAATGTCCACTTTACCTTATTTTTTGCAAGGGATTCTTGAAATTTGATTATATTAGAACAAGAAATGTCATTTTCTATTGTTTTTTGCAAGGGAAAGCGGATTACAACAAAACAACCGGATCCTGTACACACCCTCTTTTCTGAGGCTTCCTCACGAAAATGATGAAAATGTAGCTGCGGCCTAGGCGGCGCAGGGGGGGCGCGCACCAGGGGGCCCAACAATAATTATTCTTTAGAATAAATGATGTTCAACAACAACAACAACAACAACCACAACCACAACCACAACCACAACCACAACAACCACAACAACAACAACAACAAACAAACAAAAAACGTGGACCCCAGAGGTCTGGACCATTTCCCAGTGAGCAATTTGTCATCCAGGGTTGCGTTTTGGTGGCCCCAAGGCCCGGCGAGGGCCCCTGAAGACTGAAAATCGCGAAAACTCCTCCGCCGTGACTTTCCATGACCCGAAGGGAGAGCTTGCTGCTACGCGCGAAATAAATACCAACGAGAACGGCCAGTAATGAGGCTAGGATGCCTCCTTTGATTTTGATCAGGCTATGACGCCCACTCGCGCCCACCCCGTCCCGTCTTCAGGAACTTCGCATCCCAATATACTGGTGGGATGGGAAGATGGGGAAAATGTGAAGACGGTGCCAGGTTCGTGAGGATTTGCCCCCGCAGCCCCTATGATGGAAGCTGCGGAGGGTGCGCGGCTTCATGGTGGCCCTCACTGGTCAGGCCTATGATTGTCCTCACCAGCGAGGGGACAGCAGAATACCTTAGAATCGCAGTGAGAAAAACTAACCACCGTCCCAGCCCAGGCACGAGAGAACCCACTATCAAAACGAGCGGGGGTTCTACAGGCGAGGAATCACGCCGAAGCCGCCGCCACCTCGCGGCGTCACGCCACCGTCGAACACCTCGCTCCTGTCCCCCCAGGGAAACCTTCCCCCGTGAGGCGAGAAGAAGAGCGCCACCAAACTCGTTGGCCCGCGTCGAATCCATGTTGAATCCGCTGACCCCTTGGGGTCACGGCGTGTGAGATGCTTCCCCAAACATGCGACGCCCTGATTTTTTCAGGACAGCGTCCCCGGAAGTCCTGACCCTTTCCCTGGGGTCGGTTTTTCATCCTGAGTCATTCTTTGACGGTCCCGGGGCCGGCGATGGCCCCCCAAAGGGTCGAAAATGGCGGAAAATTGTACGACGCGATCATGCCTGGGTCCCCCTCCCCAAACCCCTCTCCTGGGAGCCCGGCCCGGCCGGTTTGAAAGGGGGGAGCGGGGGGGGCAAACCGGCTGACCGGCCGGCCACACCCTTGGAGCCTCCGGCGGCCCTAAAACGGCCCTAAAGGGCCCCAGAAGGCCCCCCGGACGGTCCACAAAACAATAAAACATACACTTCGTGGCTAAATCTGCCGACCCATTGGGGTCGCGGCGTGTGACTTCCCCCTCCCCGAACCTCTCCCCGGGGAGCCCGGTCCAGACGGTTTGGAGGGGGGTGGGGGGCAAAAGTGCCCGCCTTACCTTTGGAGCCTCAGGGGGCCCCAAAACGGGCCAAGAGGGCCCCAAAAGGCCTCCCGGACGGTCCAAGAGGGCTACGAGTCGCCGAAGGATCGCTCCAAGACGCCAAAGATTGCCTCCAAACTGCCCCAGAGGCCCCCAGGACGCCCCAAGAAGCCACCAAGAGGCGTCCCAAGAGGCCCTCCAGAAGCAAAAATCGTCCCATTCCCGACGGAAAACTTACGTTTTTAGCACGTTCGTCTCTTGGGCTTTCACGAGGCCCACAACGTTCAAGATCGACCCAAAATAGCCCAAGAGGGCTCCAAGACGGCCCAAGAGGGCCCCAAGACGGCCCCAGAAGCCTCCAAAACGGCTCAGGAGGGCCCCAGGACGGCCCCAAGAGGAGGCCCAGAGGGGGAACCCGAATGGACATTTCGAGCACTCGGCCCCG